AAATATTTGCTATGGTAGCCTGATTTAGACTGGCTTGTTTCAAGTAGTTTGTATCCATAAAAAAATTACATCTTATTGTCTGACTTACGGTGCATGTAACACGTAAATACAAAGACGATCAAAACTTTATTGTAGATCATCTTAAAAATATAATACTCCTCAGGTTTTAAATTATTACAAAAACTGAATGACGACTTTTAAATTACTATCAGGTAAACATAAAAATTTTCAAAAGATGATTTGGCTCTCCACATTTATAATACTTCCGTTTGATGTAAAATAGTTATTGAAAACAATGTTATTATAATTGACTAAAACGGAAGTGGTCTGTTTTTTAGTACATGAAAAGAAAATAAGTTTACGCAGCGAAACGCGCCTATAACTAAATCTAGTTTATTTTAGGAAAGTGTGAAACCAAAAGTATGTAGTTTTAAATAGCATAAGAAACCCAAAATAGATAATTCAAAAAAATCTACTGTCATAAATCTCTATACTACTAAAACTCAACTTTGATTACATGTTTGAATATTTATTTGTTTGTCTGATTTGCTACTGGAGAGAATCTGCACTATGTGTAGGGCTGTAAAATAGTATGTAGGTAGAGAACAATTTTTCTTTTCAGACAGACTTCTATCACAAATTATTTAAAGACGTTAATTAATTTATTGATTTATTCATAGGTAGATTAACCACATTAATTTTAAATTTTTCAAACAATACCTTAACTTTGACTAAATAGTGACGATTTGTTTACTTTTTAGTACAATAAAATGGCGGCTTCCATCATAGACTTTGTGGCCCATTCAAAAGTTTAACGCTTTCTAAAGCTAATTTTCTGTCGGCCATAACTTTAACAATACGTCCGTTTGCTGTTTTTATTACGTTCAATCACTTATATAAATTTTCAATTGTCTTTTTCATTTAGTTTTATAATAAATTTCTCTAACTCTACAATATGTCAAAGAAAGTTATCTATTTATTTATAGATCTAAATTTCAGGTGGCCAAGAAAATTATTTTTAGATCTAGATCTAGAATCTAGGTCAAACTAAAGATTAATTAGGAACAAATCAAAGATTAATTAGATAAAAATACAATCCATTTTAAAATCATAATACATTGTTTTAGTCCTTAAATACTTGATATAAATCTTTGTGATTTATCTATCTAGATTCTAGATCTAACTAGAATAGGTCTAATCTAGATCTAGCAAGAGTTAAGCAAAAACTAGACTTAAGACTTAAGCAAACGAGTCGTAGAATCTAAATCTAGATAATTCTATCTAGATATAGATAATTTCAGAACTTCATTATTTTATATAGATCTTTGTTTGTTTTGCTATGAGATTGGCTAATTTAAGATAAAATTTAATTTGAAGGTTACTACTGCTAGACTTAGATCTAGATCTATGCGCGTAAATCAAGTTGCATAAGGAGACTCAAAGTATTAAAGTATACCATAAAAACATCAGTGACGTCACGAGTCATGCGGGTGGCACTGGTTCTAGACACATCACGCCAATGTTTAAAAAAAAATCATTTATTTTTTATTTTTTAGATATGAATGATAAAGTTGCCTATCTGAACTTGGCGGGATACAGGGCAGGTGAAGTAGAATTCATCTGTTTTTTTTTCCTAAGCGTATGAAGGGATAGTGTGGTGGTCAGATACAAGCTCGGCCGGAATCGTTTTTTAAACGATAAAAACATGTCTGATTCCTGTGACGTCAGTATATAAAGGGATAGTTAAAAATCGGTGTTTTTAAAAGATAAAAAAAACATCTTTTTGAATGTGGGGTCTGGTTTTTTGTGACGATAAGTGACAGACGTGATGTTTTTTATGGATGACTCCCGAAACCCACAGTTATCCAAGGGATGACGGGTAGTCTAGTAGTATTTAACTTCTCCGGCACTTACCTTTTAAATCAACTATTTA